CCCCGTCACACCAAACATGTTCGCCCTTTCAGCCTGGGGGCGATATAATGTGACGGTCACTCCCACTATACGTTAATAAAAGAGTACCCCAAGAGTTGGCGGTGGGTGGTGATGACTAGCTACCTTCCCTCTTGTCTTAAACTGCTAAATTAGAGACGGCTAGAGCAAATAGCCCCCGTGTAGGTTTGCGCGAAATTCAAAAACAAACCAAACAAATTAACTTGAGAAAAATATTGAAATTCACAATTTAGGTTACCATGAACGTAGAAAGCATATTTTTCATTAATTCCTTAATGTATTTTGCGACCAATATCGTCAAAAACATAAAAGAGCGTCTACGTATATATTTATTTTTGTGAATAAAAGCAACATTTCAAACAACAGTTTCTGTGTATATAATGATATTTATCCTTCGTGAGGTAAGTATACAAAATTTGTTGATATTTGAAATGAAAGCGTAAATGTAATAACCTATCATTATGGGTGAGACTACCTTCGAAAAAAAAAAAGTTTGTAAAAGTCTTTAAAATTAAATTATGAAATTAATATTTCTTTAAGTGCACAAATAAATATCTAGCTACTTCATTGTTTGTTTGTTTCGCGCCAAGTTACACAAGGGTTACTTGCTCATAGCCATTCTCATTTTGAAATGATAGACTAGTTACATGACATCTAGTCACTTGCACCTACCGCTAATTATTGAGCTATTCTTGTCTGATCGAATTGTAGGATTTAACTGTTACTCTTCTAACACACCCACGGCCCTAAAGTCAGGATACGTTTTTGCAGCAGTGGTTCGTGAAATATGAATCCTCGGATTCACAGTACAGATACACTAATAGTGGGCCACACTCAGTCCTAATACGTGGTAAAATCGGGCTTACTTCTAAATAAGCCTCCAGTGGCACAGCGGTATGTCTGCGAATTTACAACGCTGGAAACCGGGTTTCGATACCCGTGGTGGGCAGATCACAGATAGCCCACTGTGTAGCTTTGTGCTTAACTTCAAACAAACAAAATATATAGTCTTAATAAGTAGTGTGTTTAAATATTTACATGATTAATCACTGTGCGTGTAACATTATATACCTCAAATTCTGAAGATCTCAAATTAGAAACCACGCTAACCCTAACCTTGCTCACCAAAACTTAAAATAACAAAAATATACTTATTTGACTCTTTAACTGAAACGTCATACCTAAATAAATCTGAAAAAAATCAAACAGTGATACTGAGTAGAAGCTGTGTCTGAAAGAATAGTGTACGCTATCGATTTTCTTTTAAACATTGTAACAGAAAATTCAGCTCTGGATAATCGAAGTGCATTCTATCTTACTCACCTACTACGCTAGTACCAAACGTCGTTCGTTGAGACCATTTTAAAGTGACCGACGAGGTTGACTTAGATAACATCTCTAGATGAGGAGCGCTGGGAGGAACTGAAAGACAGTTTATTGTAAACGGTATTAACTCCTTATTGCGAGTACATATATTCTAATCACTATCACATGTGACATTAGTTATCAATGAATCCTGAAAAAACAACAAAAAACATTGTGTTGAATGGTTGCCACTCAGTCCTGCTATGAAGCCTGATAATAAATACCAAGTGTATTTATGTTCTCAACCTGATAATACCAAATGTATTTGTGTTCTCAACCTGATAATACCAAGTGTACTTCTGTTCTCAATCTGATAATACCAAGTGTACTTGTGTTCTAAGCCTGATAATACCAAGTGTATTTGTGTTCTAAACCTGATAATACCAAGTGTATTTGTGTTCTCAGCCTGATAATACCAAGTGTATATTTGTTTTCAGCTTGACTATAGAAAGTGTACTTGCGTTTTCAGCCTGATAATACCAAGTGTACTTGTGTTCTCAACTTGATAATACCAAGTGTACTTGTGATCTCAACCTGATAATACCAAGTGTACTTGTGTTCTCAACATAATAATACCAAGTGTATTTGTGTTCTCAGCCTGATAATACCAAGTTTATTTGTGTTTCCACCTGATAATACCAAGTGTATTTGTGTTTCCACCTGATAATACCAAGTGTATTTGTGTTTCCACCTGATAATACCAAGTGTACTTGTGTTTCCACCTGATAATACCAAGTGTACTTGTGTTCTCAACCTGATAATACCAAGTGTACTTGTGTTCTCAACCTGATAATACCAAGTGTACTTGTGTTCTCAACCT